TTTTGAAAATGCCTGCATAAAAAGCAATCCATTCTTCGTGGAGTATGGTTGAAGTTGAATAAAGTAACGTTTTACTGACAAAGTACTGTGTTTTGAAAATACCTAATATAAAATCATCCATTCCTCTTGGAGATCAGTTAAAGTCCAATTAAGTAACGTTTTTAAGGCAAAGTAACGTGTTTGAAAATGCTTACATAAAATTCATCCATTCTTCGTGGAGTATGGTTAAAATCGAATAAAGTAACGTTTTACTGTCAAAATACTGTGTTTTGAAATTGCCTACATATAAAAATCATCCATTCTTCGTGGAGATAAGTTTAAGTCCAATAAAGTAACGTTTTTAAGGCAAAGCACCGTGTTTTGAAAATGCTTACATAAAATTCATCCATTCTTCGTGGAGTATTGTTAAAGTCGAATAAAGTAACGTTTTACTGACAAAGTACTTTGTTTTGAAAATGGCCTACATAAAAAAATCATCCATTCGTAGAGATCAGTTTAAGTCCAATAAAGTAACGTTTTTAAGGCAAAGTAACGTGTTTTAAGAATGCGTACATAAAAAGCATCCAATCTTATTAGAGAAAGCTTAAAGTCTATTAAGGTAACGTTCTAAAGGCAAAGTAACGTGTTTTAGAAATGGCTACATAAAAAATCATCCATTGACAATGAACGAACGTTTTAAAGGCAAAGTAACGTGTTTTAAAATGCCTGCATAAAACATAATCTATTCTTCGTAAAGATAATGATTATATCACCAGGTTTCAACAGCCAAGGTAGCCAACGTTCCTTAATTACTTTTCATAATAACAAAACGAAATAAACAGTACTTTTAAAATGTCAATATTTTTTGTCCCTATATCGTGACATATATACTCACACTTCACCGTTTTTCTTCAAACTTGTTCCGTACAAAGCTTCACAGAAATACCTTTCAGTCGATACATTGTTTTCGTATACAAAGTACCTCGTTTTAGCGGCGTTTTGGTCCCCAGCTGCGAGATAAAGCAAATTTTCATAACTTTCAACTGTAAGTCAAGTTATCTCGCCAGTCTTTTACCCATTCTCGCTCATGATTTCAGAATGGACTCCCATTACAACCTTCCATCGCTACGTTTTGATTTTTGGGCATCAAACGCAGCAGTTTCTAAATCATCCACACATCTCTTAAAATTTGACTAATACGTCCCGTCACCTTCCACTACGCCCCGCCGAGTCTATGACTACAAACGTGGAGTTGTATTCTAAAACATTTTGTTCATCGTTGTGTAATAACGCAGATGCGAGTAGGTAGTTACCAATTTCACCACCAGGTGGCTCGTTCGGGTCAGATAGCATGGCGGGTATGGTAGAAAGTTCCCTTTAACTTAAATTACATCTGTTTTGGTGGTTCAATTTTCATATAACCCTCATGTATCTAATAGTTATGTTAATTAAAAAATGTCCAGTAAAGGAAAATGATATTTGTCGATTACAAGAAAAGATATTTCACTTTTTGTGACTTTGTAACATGGGGTCTATGGGGATTCAACCCGAACTAGAAATCGCATTTTCAAAATAAATTAAATTTTCAAAGTTGATAAACAATTTTCGAAACCATATTTCTAGATGTACTTTTACATGTAGATTTCAAATATGACATCACTTTGACTGAGTTTTGAATATTTAATGACGTAAATCAAGATTATTTCTACTCGCATCTAGTTTATTTTACATAGGTTTGCCTTGGTCGATTCTTAACACCAGTCTTAAGTTTAGCATACATACGGAGTATAACTATAACTGATTGCATGAAATTGATAATTTAAATGTTTGTGAAGATGTTGCTTTTTAACTTTAATTATATGTAATTGTCCTGTATTTGATTTTGCAAGTGTCTGGTTAGAAACACAATAAAATCTGGAATCTTGTTTTGCAACAATAAATGGTCTAACCATCAATACAGTGCTGAATATAGGTCAACAGGATACTAGTGTACACATAAATGTTATAATTAAACCTGTACATTGATTTTGAAATATCAGATGAATTTATACTTTTTCATGGGGAGGCGGTAATAGAATCTGAAACAGGTCCTTTACCGGGATAATAGTTTCAATAATGCAGTAGCAGGTTTCGTGTAATTGGAGACAATATACTTTTACATGATACTGTCCTCTCCATAAGTTTGGCAACCTTAGCTCCCCATTGAACTACGTGTTAAAGCCTATTTATGTTTGAATTTTTATCTACATAACCTGCGGGGGAAATACTTATAAAATTGACGGAAATATAACTTGACTTTATTCCCAATACCTCCAAATTTTCTTGATGTTTTTCTCAATTACAATAGATCGGAAATGGATGATAAATCTGATGAATTTTTGAAAATCGACATTCCCATGTAAACAGGCACCACTTTTTTTTAGCTAAATCCATCGGGAAACTTTGCCACGCTTAATTTCAAAATAACGGAGATGTTATCAAAATTGAGCAATATTGGCACAAAAACGTTTCTAGATTCATATAAAGAATGCATCATCATACAACACTAATTGGTATATAAACAACATCTACTGACTTGGTCTGATAATGTAATATAAAGATTTTAACTGTTGTGTGTCAACCTTTCTTCTGTATGATTCCATTGGATTACATCATGAAACGTGAACCATATAAAATGATACATGTTTCTAACGTTATGCTGAAAATAATATAATTGACATCACCCATCCTTTCGCATTTTAACATTTTTTCAAGGATAGGGCACTTTAAACGTTTCTTAAAAATATTTTCAATTGTTCAGTAATTAAAATCTTTATATTGCAATATCGGGAAATCTAAATTTTAGGGAGATTTTGGACCACCCAATTATAGGTATATTGAAAATGGACAAGAATGGGTAAATCTTAAAACACAATCCGATTAGTATCTAGAATCGACAATGGCAACCTACAAACGGACACATCGATGGACAAATTGTTTTAGAATGCAACTCTATGTGTATAGTGATAGACTCGACGGGGCGTAGTGGAAGATGACGGGACGTATTGGTCAAATTTGAAGAGATGTGTGGATGATTTAGAAACTGCTGCGTTTGATGCCCAAAAATCAAGACGGAAGGTTGTAATGGGAGTCCATTCTGAAATTATGGGCGAGAATTGGTAAAAGACTGGCGAGATAAGTTGACTTACAGTTGAAAGTTATGAAAATTTGCTTTATCTCACAGCTGGGGACCAAAACGCCGCTAAAACGAGGTACTTTGTACACGAAAACAATGTATCGACTGAAAGGTATTTCTGTGAAGCTTTGTATGGAACAAGTTTGAAGAAAAACGGTGAAGTGTGAGACTCACAATCCTTGATTTTCAAACACTGGGGTAGGTTTTAAATTCAAATTAACGGTTTTTCGGGACGGAGTGGTTTCGATACGTCCCGAAGAGATACTACCGCGTGATTATAGGCGATACAAATCTTTTGGAAGACAATTCTATGATACGGTCACATGTTTATGAATGATATTTTAAGTTCATGAGTTTATCTTGTAAGAGGGATTAGAGGGTACAAACATACAGAGAAATATTGAACTTACCGCTCTAATCAAACTTCCGCGATGAGATTGTTTTAATTTCCTTTGATTTGATTGGTCTGTAATGCACTGCATGAAATGTATCGGGTAAAATAAAATGAGACGTACTTTTACTGGGGAAACCGTTTCCCCGGGACCCGGGCCCCGGGACCATTTCTAAAGGCAAAACAACCTACTATGCAATATGCATAGGCCAAGGGAAAAGTAATAGTAAGCTGTAAATAGAAGACACAGTCTCTTCTTTATACAGCTTACTGTTACTTTTCCCTTGGCCTATGCTACTATGCCTACGATAAAGTTACAGGTTTTATATGGTCTCTGAATAAAGTAAATAGGAGAGAAATCCTAGAATTACCTCAAAATTACCACAGAATTACCAATCTTTCTTACCACCTTCTTCCTGAATATCACACATAACTGAATGGGGGGGGGGACATAAACCCGTCGTCGATATGAACATTGAACAACCAATTAAACTTTCATGTGGACCACTGTAGATGTCAGGCCCTAATACAAGTTCAGAGGCCGGGGGCGTCGGACCTTAGTTGAAAAGGGGTGAGTTCGTTCAGAAAATAAAGGTGGCGCCGCAAGTGATTGTTCGGCAGAAGGCCGCACATGCTGGGGGACTGGTCGAGGTAGGCCCGTAGCTAGAGGGGGGGGGGTGGGGAGCGGAGGGAGCAGCCGCCCCCCCCCCCTTGGTCAGAAATTCTTTAAAAATGTTCACCATTCTGAGCACTTTTCTCATGATTTTTTCAAAAAACTGTCAAAAAGCTCTCCCCTTGGCAAAAGCTACCCCCTCCCGGGCTACCCCTTGGTAAAACCGCTCCCCCAGGTAAATCCTAGCTACGGGCCTGTTTCATCGTGGAAAATGTTTGCAGGCCTGTCAACTGTCCCGCATTTTGCGTATTTGTCACGCATTTGCTGAAGAATTTGAAGACACGCCAGTTATTTTTGCGTGACAGAAAATGTCACGCAAATACGCATTTTACCTGGTAATTGTGAAGCAAAAATATTTCTGCAGAAAAATTTCTAAAAAAGATCGTCTACACAGCAAAAATACGAAAGCCGGAAAAAAATGTACGCATTTCGTTCGGACTTTTCACGCGAATTACGTGTACGTCACGCATTCCGTTCGAAATTTTTCGTACCTACCGATTTCCGAGCAGAGGATATCAGTCGCAGCCAAGTTGGCAACGGACCCCGGGCCAACACTCTCCTGCCTTTCTGATGCCCATGATGTTCCCGTGAGAACTTATTGATGAATATATTGGATAATTCTTTATATTAATAGGTTAATTGTTCTCATTTGCATAATAAAGTATTGAATTCATTCACCACATCATGTGAGGTTGTTTTGATTACTCATCTGAATGTTACCCGGGAACTAGATTTTCTAGATTTCACATATTTTCGTTCAGTGTGTTCACATGTTTTGATGACGTATTTCACATTGCTTGTTGGCAGATGATCCAAAATTTCTTATAATTGACGTTTATATCCATCATACAACAGGTAATCACTTCTTTGATCGATATGCAACATTGGAACTAGTCTAGAACAGACTTAGTAAATCTAGATGCAAGTTATGCTGCATTGACAAGTAGGGAAAACCGCCTGATGAGAATTTTGAATCAGATTCAAAATCACTCGCAACTCGTCAGATACAGTTGGGGACATAAATAAATGACAGGTGGATTTGCTGAAGTGAGGATTTCCCATGTTAAAAATAAGAGAATTTACAAGAGGCCATAAATCAGTGAATGAGATTATACAAAATGTAAAATATACAAACTTTAAGGGATATGTATCTAGACAATATTGGAAATTATGGGCTTTCAGACCACCATAATTAGGAAATGGTGATCGAAAATCGACCTGTCATTTATTTTTGTCCCCAACTGTACATGTATCCCGATCCACAGTTTAGTATGCAGTAATGATCAGATGCAAATCATAACTGCATACTTACTGTGATAATACCATCTTCTCTCCAAGTTCAGTACCATTTTCCATTTCTATTGTATTTTGCCATATCAAACAGATGAATATGATCCTAGTCCAATAATGTGAATATATACATGTACCAGGGTCGTGTTGACACAAACTTGAAAAAATGCAACTTCTGATAGTCAAAACATTTGAAAACTGACTGCCGGACAATTTGTCAAAATTCGCTATTCTGACCAATCAGATTGCAGCATTTTCAACCACATCCACTTTTTTGCCAGACACCCGGGGGCCAGACACTCCAGAATTGTCATTGAACTTGGAGAGAAGAAAGTGTAGATCATGATTTGAGCTTGCCCCAAATCATAACTGCATACTGACTGTTGCTTGATCTGTTATATGATCACCCGTATGATCATGGCTTTCAAAGAGGCAATGGTGATATGCTCCATTGTATTTATTGTTGAAATCTTGTTTTTAAGATTTAATTCACTTTCATTTCATGTCTTTTACCAACGATATCGACATTGTCGGGTCCAGTGATATTCGAAAAATGAAAAAAATTTTGAAGAAAATCCGTCTGAAGTTAAGATTTTCTAGGCTTGTAATTAGCAATACGATGCACAATAGTCATCCTCAGTTGTATGTTTTATATTTAACTTACAGGTAAACCATGTTCAAGTATCAGATTTTGACGAAAAAGCAATAAATATACATAAAACTACGATTTCTGTTGTTATTTCCGGGCAGCCATTGACAATAAATCTCGAGGGTAAATCTCGAGGGCCCCGAGACCTAATTCGAGAGCAGGAAGTCGATCAAAACAAAAAAGAAAATTTGGAAATGTAGGCGGTAAAACTTCACTAAAATACACCATACAGCAGGTAGTGTTGTCGCGATGTGCCATAATCGTACATCGATGCATCGGCAATTTTCAGTAGTAAACATCGATGCACATCGCGATGTACATCGCGAAAAAGTCCGAGAAAAGTGCACTGAAATACCGAACGATAATGCACTAAAATACCGAACATCCGGTACATCCGGGAACTTCTAGTAAGGGTGAAATGAAAGCAAAGTAATTTTTTTAGATTAATGGTTCATTTCGACTAGCTAAAACAGTTTTAAAGCGAAATAATATCAGAAAACATTGGAAAATGAAATAAGACATGAGAAAGGTAAGCGATTTGCGTCAAAATAAGATAAGAAAGGGTGATTTTTAGCAAATTAATTTTTTTTTAAAACATCGATGTTTTGTTTCAGACATCGATGCATCGCCAGAATCAGCTTTGGCGATGTATATCGCGATGTATCGATTAATCGCGACAACACTAACAGCAGGTAGTAACAAAGATTCTAATTCATAGGGAAATAGCTTATTATGTTGTGAGTTCCGACTGTCGATCAAGAGGCGTTGTGTCAACATGGGTGTCGCAGAGAGCATTCGACTGACAATCGACCATTCCGACATTTGATGCCAGCTCTAACATTTATACAAAATAAGCAGAATATGAGTTTAAATATTAAATGTTTAGATGTTGACTTAAATTGAATTCAATGAGGAATAATTTGAACTGGGTACTATTAGTTGAATGCCTGAAATGTTCTAGCATTGAGTTCTGTGATTAAATCCTCAATGCATGGGTTAACTGTATGTCAAAACGCAACATACATGTATTGATGAAAGAAAAATTAAAAAATCAGGGGTGGAAGTGGTTGAAAATCAGGATAACATTTCAGAAAAAACATGTGGGTGGGTTGTTTGCATCTTTCCTGTCTCAATGTTGAAATTATTTTATCATCTCTGCGAGTGCTTTTCCTGGAGGTAATGCATTGATCTAACATATGCACCTGTTTAAATCCTCAGAGAATAGCCAAAATCCAGCATATGACTGTCCGAAATCTGTTGCGCTAATTTCCCTCCTCCTTTCTGAATCTTATAATATTACTTGTAGATGGTGGCTAAAGATGGGAAACATAGAAGCACATGATCTTGCTCCAGTTAGAGATGATGAGCGTAAAGAATGCAACCTGAGTAGAAAAGTGACCTACAAGCAGTATGTCAAGGTACAATAATTTCTTTTTGTTAATTTTTAAATGTATTATAATGATCCCTCGTCTTGGGTGTTCTAATTACCCATGTCATCATGAAAGACACACCCAGGAATCTCTCCTTGAATCAGCCTTGTGTTCTACGCTTTTTATTGTCAACCAGGTTTTGTTGTTCTGAGCATGATAAATATTTAGCTTTATTGTTTTTCTCATATCTTATTTACAATAGACATGATTTTCTAAAATTTTTAAGAGGGCAGTTTCTTTGTACAGAGCAAAAATGTAAACAAGCAATTTTTTTCAAATCATAAACATAAAGCTTGCCCCAAATTAACTAGAGTTACAGAAGGCTAATGTATTTTGATGGCTGTACACCAAGAAAACTTATTTCATAATAATGAACAATAAACATGCTGTATGAAATGCTAACATTGATGAATGTGTTGCAGCATCTACAGGGAGATTTCTCAGAGGCCTGTATGCTGGAATGGCCCTGGAACATCCGTGATGCAGTGTCTTTGTACGAGCGTTTTGATGCATCGTTTCATCGACTTCCAGACATTCCCCCAGAGCTTCCCTTACGACTTCCACATCTTCACTACATCAATCTTAGTCATAACCAAATAACTGAAATTCCAGAAAGTTTTGCTTTACTTTTCCATCTACGAACTGTGCTGCTGAATAATAATGCCATCAAAAAAATACCAATGTCATTCATACATCTAGTCAAACTTGAAAAATTGGACGTATCCCATAATATCCTAAGAGAGCTTCCTGAAACCATGGGAACGATGGAGTCATTACAGCGGCTCAATGTAAGCCACAACAAATTGAAAACTCTTCCATTGAGTCTTGGAAATTCTAAGATTATCAAAGTCATAATGGCAAACAATAATAGATTGGAAACCCCACCACAGAGTTTATGTGATTCTGGTTCAGAAGCCACTATCAAGCACCTCAGGAAAATATGCCCTAAAGAGAACTATGCAAAACCTACTAACGTTAAAGTGAATGTGTTTAAAAGAGTGCGCGGAAATCAGTTGCTTAGCAGTACAGTGCCTAACCCTCAGTCTGCTCAAACGCAGGTATGTGTTGTCAAAGGCAATGTTTCGAATCAATTTAGATTAATTTAAAACTGTTTCTGGACATGTGACACTCGGTTGCTTTTAGAAAATCTCTTCAAATAGACTTTACATGGATAAAGAAAATTGACACAAAGTTCAAAACCCTCAATTTTATTACTTGCAGCAATTACGGGTGGATTACTGCATTAATGTTTTGAAGACCTTTAGATAATCATTTATAAACTCGTATAATATGAATAATAAATAGAGCAACAAACACTGCATCAAATGTGGAATTTCTAGTAATTTCTAGACGTGCTTAGTCGGTCTAGGAACTCCGTGTATCTAGAGATTTCTAGGCGTGCTTAGACGTGCTTAGAGCTGGCGTGGACAGAGCGTGACTAGAGTTTAGAAATCTCTAGGCACGCCGTGGTTAGACACAAGACAAAATTAGTCGTTATTTAATTGCCATGTGAGATTTTGCGCTATATATGGAAACATTTAAATTATAATTTACCGCACGTGTTAATATTTCGTGTTTTGCTTTAGCTAAATACGGGATATCAAATCAAAAAGAGTATGTTTTCACTTTATATCCGACTTGAGTCACGAAAAGTACATCGCAACATGGCTTCTTAATTGTTAACTTGTTATAAATTAAGAGGGTCTGTTTAAATGCGTATTTCCACTAATCAACACCCATTATTTCGCATTGACAAGAACCAGGGCCGAATCCAGCATTTGCTAAGGGGATGACTTTTGAATTATTCCAGGGGTGAGGTCACATTTAATATTTGCTCAAAAATTACACGAAAACTGCTCAAAATGGTGAAAGATTTATTGGCCAGGGGATACAGTATTATTTTAAACTAGACATCTCTATCGGCGAGGGGGGGGGCTAACTTATTCCAGGGGTGGGGTCACATTTGATATTTGTTAAAAAATCACACGAAAACTGCTCAAAATGGTGAAAGAATAATTGGCCGGTGGATGCAGTATTATTTTAAACAATACATTACTGTCGGCGAAGGGGAGGGGGCTAACATATAGTTGAAATTACATAATACGCTACCTTGGTGATCTATAAACATAATCTTGTCATAAACAACTACTGATTATTATGTGAACGGATATTTGTAAATTTGGTTTAAAAAGAAATTGAATATAGGGTAAAAATGAGGGAGACACAGACGTCGGAAGAGTGGGGATAAAATCTAATCAACACTAAGCTGAGACAGAATGAGAATCATATGTCTGGACTCACAAGATTTTCATAAACATATTTGTTGATTGCTCACGAAAACAAAAACAAATTTCAGGGTTCATTGGCATCACACAATATTTGCAAAATGGGGGAGTGCATTTTCCCAGGATTTTAAACAATGCTTTACTTTAAATGTCGCCCCTCATACTTAGCATAGTACGCTTTAACTATCAGATTCAGTAGCACCCTGCCCTTGATATATTAATACATAGTTTTCTTGTACCCCTTTTCAAAAATACAACGAACTAAATACATAGTAATAATGATCTTGGAATTGATTTCTTTGATCTGTAATCTAGATCACACAATAACTAATTAACTGTTTGATTGCGTTTTTGCTTCTTCAAAGACGGGATATCCCAAAATTACCTTGATTACAGCATTGGCTTTCAAGAGAGTCCATGATTGCAGTCTACATGGTCTATAGGCTATTTTTAATTCCTCGATATTTTAGTTGTGTATCTTTGAATCTGATTATCATATACAATTTACTTTAACCAATTTTACCCGTTTTTTGAACTTCAAAACTGTCACATACATATTGGTGGTCACTAATCATATTAGGACCAATAACAAATAACATAATTAAAACTGGAAAACATACAATACATATTCATCATCTCATCTATTTCTCCGGTTTGTATCTCCCGGTAATCTTTATGCCTTGAGCCACCCCCCCCCCTTACAGATACTTTAGATACACTTATTTTGACGCTACTTAATTTGACGAATTTGCTCAATTTCAAATATTGGCGGCTATTTAATTTGGCGGAATCAGGACTGAAGTTTAATTTTTGTCTATGTTTATGCATGGGCTATAAAAAGATTCTCTTGAAAGCCCATGGTTTATGTCATTAGGACGGGTATTTACTAAGATATTTTCTGTATTTCTTTTGGGATAATGTATGACATGTTGATGACATGCTCAGTTCCCGGCTCAGTTGACAGGAAAAGGGGCCCCACAAGTTTAATTTCTGAAGTGCATTTGACAAAAATTCCAAACTGAAATTTGACGGATTTTAATTTGGCGGATTTTCTGACTCCGTCAATCCGTCTAATTAAAACGGGAGCCAAATTAAGTATCTTCAGTTATATCAATATTATTTTGTATCTATCTGACATTATAATTTCGAAGAGAGATTCTCCGGGGAACATTCTGGATTTCGAACATAATAAACTTAATTTGAAATTGAATCTGAAATTCTGTCAGAATGGAATACATGGACCTGGTTACATGGTTTATCTTATTCTAAATGGACAAATAAGATCGCAGGGGCAGGAAACTCCCCCGTTGTTGACATTTTGTTCATATAAAAGGCATTTGCATTAATCCTTTTGATAACTTTCTTTCGTAGTTGGTCTCTTGACCCGAAACATTCTGGCTACAACAATACAATTGAGTTTTGGAGAAAAACCGCCCTAAGAGGAACGTTGGAGCTTTTTAAGACCACATTAAGCCCCTACTTTAACTAACATCTTAGTAACCCATGTTAAGGCCAAGCTTTTCCAGGATATCTTCAATCAATCCTCAACCCCTGTTAAAGACCCATTTTACAGGGTGTCTACACCGGGGCCTTCCCCCTTGACCCTCGTTAAAATCCTACTTTTGAAGGTAACATACCCCTTCAACCTCCCTTCAAAACCCTACTTGTACAGGGTACCTACCCCTAAATCCCATATTAAAGCCCTTATATTTGCCGGGTACATACATACCCCCCTCCCTCTCAAGCCGTACTTTTGCTGTTCCCCACAGCTGAATTCATTTGTGAACTATTATTTTGTATAATGAATCCTGGTGGATGTCACTTGTGATATCTGTAAAATATACAAAATGTACATTATATATGCGGTCTGGGGTGTGAGGGGGCTCACTTTAAAAAAACAATTTGGGAGGTCTCACTTTTGACAATCAGAGGCAAAGGTCTCAAATTTGTTAAACAAAGCATGGAATGCCCATGAACCAATTATGAATATTATCATATGAAAACAAAATATTAATTCCTTATAATCAAAATACTTCCTTGTTTTTATAACTGCTGAACCACCTTGATTACAGAAGACATACCGTGGAGTAGTCTAGAAATAGTTTTTCAAGCTTAGGACCTATAGCCATTTATCATGTGGATCGACACTGTTTATTTATTTGCATAGATATGTTACTGGCCTTGGGAGGCACATGATGCCTTCTAGCAATTTCAGATTTGTATTGTTTGAACTTCTATTTTGTTTAATGCACACTTCTGATCACCATATCAAATCATTTGAATCGTAAAGATGATCATTCAAATAATTTTGATTGAGGAAAATGTTTTCCATGGAAAGCCGTGAGTACGCTTTGCAAACTATCTCTGGACTCTCTCTCTCTCCGGACGGCAGAGGGGGGGGGGGGGGGGGGTTGCGATGAGCGCGAAGGCACCCCCCCCCAAAAAAAGCTCATAAAAATATAACCATTAGATAGAAGAAATGAGCTTTCAATTTTTTTATTTGAAGTTTCAATCTCATTTTTGAAGAATTTTGAAAGATGCATCAATTTTTGTAAAATTCAAAATATATCTTAACATTTTTTGGGCTCGCTTAATAAGTTATGCCACGATCGCACATCATGACATCTCATTTCTTCTCAGTCCTGAGATGATGTTTCAGGTGAAACAGAAAGATGCTATGAGTATCAGAATGGGATCGCACCACATGGGGAGTAGTTTCCAGAAAGATTAGAATAGGGTGGGTGGGGTAGCCTTGCCCAAGTCGTATCTTTTTCCTATATTGATTTCTATTATTCAAGATCAGATAAGTAAAAAATACCGACTTGGAAAAGGCCGGGGAAAAGGCTAAGGATGGGGGTGCAAGAAGGTATCCCGGCATAAATAATGTCAGATCAACATCCTAGATATAGTGATATCTGGACACCCCCTCCCCCATCTAACGGCCCTGAGATTCAAAGAGCTCTTTGAAAGTGTCCAAAAAATGATGAAAACTGCATGTGATTGAAATTTTGGCCAGTAAGAGTTCCAGCCCCCCCCCCCCCTCCCCATCTACCCTTGGCTCTTACCATGGACATGGAGGAAATTTAGGAGTCATTTTCAAATGCCCGATTACAAGATTACAGTGATTTATTTCCGCCCTTACATAACAGTGTTGTTGGTGGGCAGATGAATTCGAGTATGTATTGATCTAGTTAATTAGTGAATACAGATAGATTAAAGGAAAAGTGACTTGAAAGTGAATTCTCAAAATTGAGAATTCTGATTGTAATCAAAACTATATGAATTGATACTAATCGCACGGACATGGACTAGTATTTTGAATCATTTCATATCCTATCCAACAGCAAGTGAAATCAAATGATCAAGCTACATTATTTATTGAAACTTAAATAAGGGACAATATTTTTTTTACCTTTTATGTTAGTTTCAGATGTTGCTTGCAATTTCTTGAGTTTTTGAGGCGTACTAATGGCCACTTGTATAATCATTAGAGTTTTTAATGCGCACTTTTGGTCTATAGGCCTGTCATTGAGGTACATTCTAAAATTGTCTCGGTTTATCAGGTTTAGATTTGGTCATTTTGACTATATATAATTGTTAAGTTTTAAGCGCAGTTTTGGTCTATATGCTTATAATAGAAAACTTTAAGGAGATGATTTGGTCTACGCTACACTTTGCATTCGTTTGACTTACTTTCTTAAAGGAGAGCTTCGTCTTCGTAGTTTAACTAGACTCTGCACGCAGGGTAGGTCTACGCCATAACAAAACCTTTA